ACGTTTCGGGCCTAGACCCTTCTTCAGAAATGAAGAAATTTCTGAAGAAGGGTCTAGGCCCGAAACGTCAGCCTTCCTGCTCCTCGGATGCTGCTTGGCCTGCTGTGTTCATCCAGCTTTACATATTCTGCCAGTCTCAGTTTTCTCTCTGTCAGAGTGTCCTTCTGGGGCCTCCTGACTAATCTTGTGTACCAGTCCATTGGTGATATTGTCTGTCCAAGTGTTACAGGGATCTTATCAAGGCAACACTGGTGGAAGTCATTCAACTTATTTGACATTTTCACTGCTGTCTTTCTTGCCTTCATGACATATATTGAAGTTGGCACTACAATAAAAATACAGTAAAATAACCTTTATTTAATAAAACAAACTGAAAAGAGAACTGAGCTGTACTCAGTTGATAAAAAAAAGTAGTTCAGTAATAGACATAGATAATGTCACAGAATTTAATCTACAGAATATATATAATGTTGCCTAACAAATTACATCATCTGATATTTTACTAATGTAATATTTTAACCTTTCAGATTACATTATGTCTGAAAAAGAAGTTTCATGGATCCTACAACATGATGCAACATCCTACTGGGCTCTACTTTCCTCATCAGAAATTCTACTGATAAATAATAAACATGCAAATTACTTACATATTTAACAATTTAGCAGTCCTTAAAAGAACATGATTATATTTGTGTAGTTACTATTTAATGTTGGATCCCAAATTGAGAATGTATGCTTCTCATTGAAAGCTAAATTCTGCCAAAAAGCACTTAAAAATACATAATAAAATAGAAATAGTGGTTGCTATAAATGTCAGGCTGAAATAACTATTTGAATCTGTTAAATATGTCACAAAGAAATTAACAAAGTTATGATAAATAAACACTAGAAACGTCTTCACCCAAATTTTTGTACAATTCGAAGATTTGTCTGTGATTTGTCAATCTTTTTGTACTGCTGATTAAGTATAATAACTAGGAAGTAATTGACTAAGGTGCTAAAGAAAGTACTGTGATCACTCAGTTCACTTTCCTTATTAGTCATATTCTGATGAAAGAATAAAAACTTCTGACGTTCTATATTCAGGAGGGATACATTCAAGATTCTGCTTGGAGTATGACATATGAGGAATAGACAAACAAAACAATGTCAAAATTGGCAAACAGCTGAGTTCTTTTGAGTCACAGCTTTCCATGTAAATCAGTTGCAGTAATTTATTGTCACCAGTTGGTTGTCTTCCGCATTATCTCACATGTTATATTTATCTGTACTTTATTCAAATTAACATCAACTATTGCTGTTGTGCTCAAATAGTAACATTATATATTTGTAATAAATTATTTAAAATAATTTACATAACATGGCAAACAGATTAAACTATTTATTAAAACCTTATTTTTCTGAGAACTGAATATTTACAATGTGGTCTATTTTTGTAAGTCCTGACACACAATGAAATCCAACAATAAACAATACTTTGTTATATTTCATTATTTTTTGTTGCAAGTATCTAGTTTATAATTCAAATATTACAGAATATGACTGTTAGGTTGGATTTAAAGGATTAAATGCAAATGGAAAACACTGACTGAGAAACTAAGACTAATTCTAATGTCATTGCAACTGAAACAAGCTTGAGGTTAATTAAAAACTAACTATTGTACTATAAAGAAGGTCAGATGAAGAGGTATAAACATGTAAACAATAGATGACTCCTATTTAAATCTTGGGTAGAACCATGCCATCTGCAATTATTTCAGTAAGGTATTTAAACTATACATGTAGTTTCATTCAAGATGAATACAAGTTGAAACGATCAACCACCCAGGGAGTTCCATGATAGGGACAGAATGTCTGGAGAGTGGGTAATCACATTCATCAACAAGATATGTTATTCATACGAGACCACAAAACATTAAAACAGAAGTGGACCATTTAGCCCATCCAGTCTGCTCCATGATTCAATGAGGTCATGGCTGATAATCCTCAATCCCAACTTCCTGCATTTTTCCCAAAACCCTTGATTCTCTTACTGACTGAAAATCTGTCTATCTCAGCCTTAAATATACTTCGTGACCTAACCTCCACAGTTCTCTGCGGTAAAGAATTACATTTGAACAAGGAATAAGAATGTGCTACTTAGCCCTTTGAGCTTGGTCCAATTTAACCACAACTCTATATGCCTGCACATCCCTGATGATCTATCAACCCTGCAGTAATCAAGAACCTGTCTACCTCTGCCTTAAAATGTTTAAAGATTCTGCATCTAATTCCACAGACTGACTACCTTTCTGACAAGAAATTCCAACTCATCTCTGTCCTGACTGAGTGACTCCTTATGCTGAGATTATGCCCTCTAGTCCTCGATCCTGTCACAAGGGAGAACAAGCTCACCATACTTACCCAGTCAAGCCAACTGAAAAAAAATCTACATTGAGTACATTTCTAAACATTCCCTCATAAGACATCCATCCATACACAGGCTCAACCTAATGAACCTTCTCTGGACTGCCTCCAATGCCAAATATCTTTCTTTAGATAAGGAGACTGAAACTGTTCAACTATTCCAGGTGTGGTCTATCTAGTGCATTGTATGGTTTTAGCAAGTAGATCCTATTTATAGAGTCCATTCCCTTCGTGAGTTACAGAATCAAAGATTAGCAGTGAATGTGAAGTTAATCATTTATACTTCTGTATGAGAACATTACAAAGCTTGCCACATTGCTATAGAAGGCATCTGTGGGGGATATGAGGTTATTTTGTTTAATTTATCTGGCTGTCCTCTCAGAAAGCAGGCAGAAGCAGTTTGCTTTGGTTCATTCAACTGAAAAGAGAGAGGCAGCAGGAGGGAATTTCTAGTCAAGCTTGCACTTTCAGCAGAGAACGTCCCAGCTTTATCGTTCGCCATGTGAACTGTGAGTGAAACTCAATCTCAGTTTGGAACTCGTAATGAAGCTAAAAAATTTGCCTGGAAGTTGGAAGAAGAAATCTACAGCACAGTGGTTTTGTAAATAAAGCCTTAGCCATTTTCTCACTTTGTATGTTTGTCAGTGAAATAGACAACATCAGAGCTATCCTTCAGGACAATGGATATTCTGATAGATCACTATTTCCTGTAAATGACGTAAACTCTTCAGCCTGCTGTTTTCAGACTTGAAAAGTGCCCAGTTTGCCTCAAAGCACCCTGGAAAGACAAAATATGTGAGAATCCTGAACAGCAAGTTATGTAGGCTGTTTTATGCTGCTACCATGCAAGGTCTTTGCAGTGGTATTTTTGACTAACAGAATGCTGCCGTTAGTCCAAAAAAACATTTCGCCTACCAGACAATTAAACAATGTCGTGCATGAGTCTCAGTGTCAGTAGGATATCAAGTATGTACAGCATACAGTCCAACCTTTGGCTGATATAATCAAACAGAATGTAGCTTCAGTTGTCCATAATAGGATTAATATATATATATACCCAACGACATTTACATAACCCAAACAAGTCTAATGTTAGATGTGTGCTTACTGAATAGGCCTGAGTAATCTAATAGCTAAAATAAAAGCCAATTTAAGATAATTTGTTGTAATGTAACGAATTTACGTTAGCTAGGAATGATATACATTCACATGTAGGGACCCATGCCCTGCAAACAAAAGGAATAAGCACGAGCCTTGCTCCTTTATTGAATTTGCCAGTAGACTGGGGAACCTATACAAGAACATAAAAATTACGAGCAGGAATGATTAATTTGGTGCATCGAGCCTATTCTGCCACCTGATAATCATGGTCAATCTGACTGTGGTCTCAATTCATTCTTCCTGTCTGCCCTCCATACCACTTGACACTCTTGACCATCAAAAATATATCGAACTCGACCATGAATATATTCAATGAGCCAACTTCCATTGCTTTCTGGGGAAAGAGAATTCTACAGGCTAAAAACCCCATGAAAGAGAAGGAAAATCCTTCTCTCAGTTTTAAATGGAAGACCTTTTCATTTTTAATTGAATGTGCAATTCTGGACTCACCCCCTCCTCAACGAGAAACATGATTCTCAGCTCTCAACCTGTCAAGACCCCCAATGATCTGTTGTGATAATGATAAGAATCTTTATCCTCCTCATTTTATGAAATTGGTAGTGGGTGGCTTGGTGGCTCAGTGGTCCAGTGGTTAGCACTGCTGCCCCACAGTGCCAGGGACCCGGGTTCGATCCCACCCTCGGGTGACTGTCTGTGTGGAGTTTGCACATTCTCCCCATGTCTGTGTGGGTTTCCTCCCGCAGTACAAAGATGTGTAGGCTAAGTGGATAGGCTATGCTAAATTGTCCATAGTGTTCAGGGATGTGTAGATCAGGTGGGTAATACTGGGATGGGTCTGGGTGGGGTGCTCTGAGGGTCGGTGGACTTGTTGGGCCGAAGGGCCTGTAGGGCTTCTAATGATCTATGATTTCTATTAAATGTACTTGTTCAAATTCCATCATCTGGTTTTCATACTTGGGACTGCTATAAACTGAATGGTTTTAAAACAACTGAGTTAAAATAGCCACAGAAATTGCTTCCTTCTTCCATGACTGTGGTTCCCCACCCACTGTGGTTGACAGGGTCCTTAACCAAATCCAATCTATCAACCATGCTTGCAAGAAGAATAATGGCCAATGGAAGACAAAGCAGCAGGTTAATATTTGTGGGGGTGGATTCAACTGTAAAGGAAAGTGTGAAAAAACATGAAAAGAAAGGAGAACTCAGGAGAGGTTATTAAAGCCTCCAGAGCACAAAATAGGACAAAGTGTTTGGAAAGGATTAGGAATCAAACTTCAAGCGCACTGGATAAAGGGATGACAATGAGAAGAGGGACAGTCAATACAGGACTGAAGGTGTTGTATCTGAATGCATGCAGTATAAGGAATAAGGTAAATGAGCAAATTCGCAGGTATGATGTGGTGGGCACCACGGAGATGTGGCTGCAAGGGGATTAGGACTGGGAGCTAAATAACCAATGGTATACATCCTATTGAAAAGACAGGCGGTGAGCAGAGAGAGTGGGGTTGCCTTATTGGTAAGAAATGAAATTAAATCAATAGCAAGAAACGATGTAGGGTCAGATGGTGTATCAACTGAGATAGTAGGAACTGCAGATGCTGGAGAATCTGAGATAACAAGGTGTAGAGCTGGATGAACACAGCAGGCCAAGCAGCATCAGAGGAGCAGGAAGGCTGACGTTTCGGGCCTAGACCCTTCTTCAGAAAATCTTCTCATCTGTGTGGGTAGAGTTGAGGAACACAAATGTAAAAAAAACCACCATGTGAATTATGTACAGGCCTCCAAACAGTAGTCAAGATGTGGGGTACAAGATACACCAGGAGATAGAAAAGGCATGTAAGAAACGCAAGGTTAAAGTGATCATGGGGGATTTCAAAATGCAGATGGACTGGGAAAATCAGGTTGGTAGTAGATTGCAAGAAAAAGAATTTGTGGAATGTCTACAAGATGGCTTTTTGGAGGAGCTTGTGGATTCTGGCAATTCTGGATTTAGTGATGTGCAAATAGGCAGACTTGATAAGGGAGCTTAAGGTGAAGGAACCCTTAGGAGGCAGTAACCATAATATGATAGAATTTACACTGCAATTTCAGATGAAGGAGCTGGAATCAGATGTTATGGTATAACAGTTGAATAGAGGCACCTGCGGAAGCATGAGGGAGGAGCTGACCAGAATTGACTGAGAGAGGAGCCTAGCGGGAAAGACAGTGATGCAGCAATTGCAGGAGTTTCTGGGAGTAAATCGGGAAACATAGCAAAAATTCAACCCGAGGGAAAACAAGCATACTAGAGGGAGGAAGAGGCAACCATAGCTGACAAGGGATGTCAGGGACAGCACAAAAGAAAAGAGAAAGCTTATAATGTGGTGAAAGGCAGTGGGAAGCTCGAGGATTGGGAAGCCTACAAAGACCAACAGAGGACCACTAAAAAAACAATAAGGAGGGAGAATATTAAATATGAGGGTAAGGTAGTCAGAATATAAAAAAGGACTGCAAGACTTTCTTTAGACATATAAAGGCAAAAGAGGACATTAAGCTGCTGGAAAATGACTGGAGAAATAGTAATGTGGAACAAAGAACTGGCAGAGGAACTGAACAAGTACTTTATGTCAATCTTCACAGTGGAAGACACGAGTAATATACCAAAAATTCAATATAGTCGGTGGGGTGGGGGGCGGGGAGTAGAGGTGAGTACAGTGGCCATCACCAAGGAGAAGGTGCTAGAAAAACTGAAAGGTCTGAAGGTGGATAAATCACCTGGCCCAGATGGGCTACACCCCAGTGTTCTGAAGGAGATAGCTGAAGAGATAGTGAAAGCATTAGTGGTAATGTTTCAGGAATTGCTAGAGTCAGGAAGGGTCCCAGAGGACTGGAAAATCACTAACGTAATCCCCCTGTTTAAGAAGGAAGTGAGGC